CGGGGCGCCAAGGAGGTTGGGTGCGCCGGGGGCGCCGAGGGCGCCGAGGAGGCCGGGGGCGCCGGGGGCTCCGAGGACGCCGAGGAGGCCGGGGCGCCGAGGGGGCCGCGGGGTGCCCGGGACGCGTCGCGGCTATAGGAGGCGCCGCATGCGGGGGGCGCGCCTCAAAGCCAGGGGCGGGCCAAGAGAGGCGCGCGAGGGCCCTAGGAGAGGTGTCGAGGAGCCCGCGTCACCAGTGACGGGACGTGACCCAAGCGAGCGTGCCAGAGATCAACTCTAGCGGAGAGAGCGACCAGTGCGGTGGTGGTGGATGAGGGCGAATGCACCGGATAGAGCTCGTCGGGGCTGCCATCGGTGAAGTACCATCCTGGTTCCAGCGTCCTTGACACTAAAACCAAACTCGTCAAATTCAACGGTGACAGGATTTTCACGAGTGAAATAACGAATGGAGATAAGATTCTTAATAAGATGAGGAGACACAGGTATGTTAGACAAAGATAAAAGGCGTAGAAGTAGAAGGAAACGATGTGTGTCCAACATGTGTGATAGGAAGTGTGGAACCGTCGCCGACAATGATGCGGCAGTCGGTGGAGACAGGAGTGAAGGAGGCAAGGTTACCAGGATGAGCAAACATGTGAGCCGTAGCACCAGTGTCCATGTACCAATCACCACCTCCAGTGTAATTGTTCGGCGTAGGAGCGGCATGCAGCCCGGTGAGGAGCACCGGGTCCCAGGGCGCCGGCGGCAGGGTCGGCGAGGAAGACGGAGACGCCATGGGAAAGCCGTAATGCCGCTTAGCTGCGGCGGTGGGTACTCTCCATACGGCTGCAGAGCCGCGTAGTATGCATGAGGCGCGGGAGGGGCGGGAGGCCCGTACGGTGTGGATAGTAGCCCCGGCAGCAACTGCGGTGCCGGGTAGGCCGGGATGATTCGCTGAAAAAACCTGTTGACCCGCTGATGACCCCCACCAGTACCCGGGAGACCCGTACGCGGGCGAAGCTCCGTACGCCCCGTATGTGGGAACGGGCGCGTGGGGAACCGCACCGGAGGGCGCCAGCGCGGGGCGACGACGGACTGGCTGAAGAGCGGCGGCGGCGGAGCCGTGACAGGGGGCGCCGGCGGCGGGACGGCAGTAGCGGCGGCGGACGGGCCGGTTGACGCCATTGTTGACGACGTGCCTTGCTGCATGGCGAGTGACGAGGCGTATGGCCCCGTGGGCGACGCGCCTGGTTGCATGGCGGGCTGCATGACGCCGTACACGTAGCCATGCATGGCACTGTATAAAGTTGTAGGCGCTGCTGGCCCCGCGGGCGACGCGCTGTATGGCCCTGCTGGTGACGCACCTTGCTGCATGGCGGGTGACAAGGCGTATGGCGGGCGAGGCGAAGCTAGCAAGCGGGCGACGGGATGCTACACGGAGGACTTGAGAAAGCAATCGGATCTCAAAGAACGAGTTGATTTGTGGAATTGCTCACGTACTAGAAGTACTGGTACTAATGCCCAATGGTTTGACTGGGTCTTCACGTGGAGCTGGCGATGCGGGGTGATGCGGGGATTGCCTAGCGATGCAAGGCGCGGCTAGCAAGTGTGAGGCGCGGCGGCAGTACGGGTGCGGCGGCGCGGGAGGGAAGCAGGCAGGCGGCTCGAAGGGAGCGGCGGCCTGCGGATGGATGCAGCGGCACGGGAGGAAGGGGACGCGTGGCGGCAAGGAGGAGCGGTGGCGGCCGGCGCAGGAGGTGCGCACGGGCAGCGGCGGCGTGGTGGCGGCGGCGGCGGCGGCGCGTGAGAAGGTGCGCGGCGGCGGCGGCGACAGCAGAAGACTAGGTTTAGAACCTAAAAACTGATACCATGTGAATTATGTGAATTGCACGATATATTGCTCTTCGTGCATAGACACATATATATGATGTACAAAGGTGGACCACGGACCTCAACTATATAAGGAACTATGAGGCGGATCCAATACACAATATGCACATAACACATATACTCGACACGGAGAACAGGGACGTATGGCGTTTGGTGTGTCCTACTAACGTGTTGTTGAGAAGTCAAGCAATGGCCATGGGCTCGTAGCCTCACACTCCCGTTTGAGTGACACCGCTTATCTTCTTTGGTCAAACTGCCCATGTGCCGGAGTGGAGAACATGCTTGCCCGACTGCCGGACCAACAAATGCAAACGTAGCGTAGCCACGAGAGCGCGAGTCTCAGCTATGTGAGTCTTGTGGCAAGCCAACGCATACCTCGGGGGAGTGCCCTCTTTTGCGGGAGCAGATTCCAGCTCTTACAGTGTATGAAGTATATTGTGCTGAGCTGATGTTTTTTGAGTCCGCGGCTGCGAGAGAGATTCCAGTTGATACTCAGAGCCTCACTACTGGATTGGTGAAGGTCACCCAGGGAGATGTCTCTCAGGCTCAGATTTTGCAGAGACTTCAGGAGTTGGCTCCGGGTGATTTTCAGTGGCACCTTGTTTTCATTGAAGAACGAGTGTTCAGAGTTGACTTTCCATCGGTAGAGGACTTGCAGCGTTTGCTGAGCTTTGGGATGTGTAAGGTGCCAGGAACTAATTGTATTTTGGAGTTTCAGGAGTGGAAGAAAGTTGAGCCTA